TTGTATTTTCTTATGTTTAGGTCCTTAAAATGTCTGACCTTGACTATACTAACTTGTATCTGTGCAAAGTTTGTCATTAGAGAAGTGTTTTTAAATTTCTCTACTGAAGGATGTTATGTCTGTTCACCTCCCTAAAATCTGAGAGTCAAACATGCACCGAGCAAGCTAGATATAGGTACGTCACGAATATGAAAGCCAATCGCTGTCTTATTTTGGAAACACATACTGACAGGGGAACAGACTTTGACACAACACAGGCAAAGATATCTGAAACCTCCAGCGCAGAGCAAACTTAGCAGTACAGCAGAGCAGAGTTAGCATTAGCATTGTTAAAGTTTTCACAGCAAACGTGCAGTTTTAAATGTAAACCTGACCCTGGAATTTCCATTCGCTATCAACCAAAAAGCCCATCGTAGCAGATATTATAGTATGTTTCTCAACCATTAACTCTGTTTCAGCCATTGCCAGTTAGCCAACATGCTAATAAATAACATGACTAAGTTTTGACGACAGTTTTGGTGCACTACAGACTCCTCATCTGAGTCTGGTTTCTCATCAAACTTTGTGTAAGACAGTAAACAAGCATACTGTGTTTCCCCAGTCGACCATCGGTTTGATGACAAAAAGCCTCTTGGGGCAACAATATTTTGGGAGGTCTGGTGCAGCCAGCAGTAGTTAGGTCAAAGATTTCCTCTTTCATGTGCTGGTCGTTTCACCTAAACTCTATAAAAAGCTATCTGCATATGAATGCAAAAACTTAAAATATAAAGCTACATCGTCGTCAGACAATAGCCTCAGGTTCCGAGATGGCATTTTAGGCAGTGTATTTGTCCTCTTTTGCTCTCCACACAGACTGTTTACCTACCGCTTAAATGTGATCGGTTTATACTACTTGAACTACAAACGGAAACCAGCACGCTACTAATACCAAACTACCGTACCGTTGCCTACAGATTCTTGCAGATAGTATTTCCCAAAATGCTAGAGTGCTTGTCTTGGTGAAAAAAGGTATGATTTAGGATTAAACAGCTGGGATGTAACATGTTCATAACCTTTTGTTACCTTTGGACAGTACCAGGCTAGCTGTTCCCCCCTTGATCCAGAAACTGGCTGCTTGACAAAGGATTGATTGATTGATTGATTCTTTTTTATAAATTAAAATAAAGAACACAAGTGGGGATACAGAACTAAAATCCATCAGGGTATCACAATCTTTTTCCTTTCAATTCCATTGTGGTCCTGAAGTAAAGGCAAGGAGGTGGGCAGGAACAGGGAATGACCCCATTTTTTCACACTAATACACCTAATTAACCTGCTGTAACTACATAGCTATCATAACAGTGTTATTAATCTTTTCATTTAACTCTTGTCAAGAAAGCAAAGAAGCATATTGCCCAAAATGTGAAATTTTTTTTTTTTTTTTTTTTTTTTTTTTTTTAGATAAGCAACATATTCATGATGAAATAAATAAATACACTAATACAGGATACAGAAATACAGAGAACAATGTTTTTTTGTCACTTGAAGCTACAAGAGGAAAGTTTCAAGGGGAAAACTTGTGTTCAAGAGATTACCAAGTCAGTTTTGATGTGCAGTATTTCACACTTATTATGCAACCAGCATTAAACTTGCTTTTCAGATAGCTGAGATATTGACAAAACTAGGGCTCCAACACCGTCACATTGAAATAATAATGTGTTCTGTGATTGTGTCAGCCTTAATAAACATTCCCCATTCCTTTATTCCTTTTATTTTCGGGTGTTCCCTGCATTTTTCCTTCAAGACAGAATTTCCACACGCAGCTTCTGAAGCAAATACATGGAACGCTGTGAGTCTGATTGTATCTGTGTTTCTCTGCCCACTGTAACATGCACCCAGATGCGCCCGTCCAGGGCCTTATAAATCAGATCTACCTACACTGTCAGAGGCAGATGGATGAACAGGCAGGGAATCTGAGCTTGATAGATATACATTTACTGTTGCTTCCATTATTGGGATCATTTTAATTGCCATCAATAATAACGGATTGGAAGAGCTAAGGTTATACTGATGCCAACTTCCCTAGTTGTTAATAGAGAAATAGGAGATATTTAGAATAAACAATCGGGAGTGAGACTTAGCTTCAACAAAAATAAAACTTGAATACTTTCTATATTAATACTATGAATGCATAAGATCTCCATGGGATCATATACATAATTCACTAGCAATAGCATCACCACTAGCAACAAACAACACATTTCTTTCACCAAGAGTTCATGTACTTGTAAGCTCAACAAACAGGTGGCCCTTGTGACCGGGTACTCCTTTTCCCACGTCTCCTGTGGACGTTCATTCCCCTCTCAGTATGTACAGTACAGAACATCCTGGTGTGTTGGCATTTGTGAAGTCTGCACTCTACAACTGATGAATGATATCCTCTGGGAAGGAAAACACATCGCTCCTCATATCTTCAAAGTCTCAGCTATTGTTCATACCACTTTCTGTAGACGGATACTGTCTATCGTCCAGAATGCCTGTATTTGACACACAGTGCTCACCACTGAAAATCCAACCCACATTGCCTTCTTGATCACGATCTTTTATTCCTGCTTTGAACTATTAATTTGTGGTCTTTTTTTCCATGGTATCGAGCCAGCCCGCCTGACAATAACTTATATTACATAAGATGCGTGACACGCCATGCAAATTCTCAGTCTGATTTATGATCCCAGAGTTCCTAAAAGGTTTTGAATGAGATTTTAATATAGTAAAGAATAAATAAAACAAATAAATAAAAACACCATAAAAGATGATGCAGCCCACATTTTCAACACTGTTTACCATGCGTGACCTGTCTTTGAAACTATTAAAGGTCAAATGTTTTTATTCTTTTCATAAAATGTGAAAACCATATGCTTGTAAATGACTTCAGTACCTATTTATCAGTGGTGACAGGATTGCATAAGGACATCTGACATTGCAAATAAATCTTTAAATAGAGAAACCTATGAAAACTGTTTCCTAGAAGGGACTTTGAGGAAAGATAAATAACTCACTTGTGAAGGCCAGGTATGACCCCGTGCTACATGTCTACAGCGAATCAGCTTGCAAGAACATCTGATTTCTGACCCTGAGGGTAGTCCAAACCCCTCAGTCCACGTCAATTTAGTTTGCTTGAGCCTCACTGACGAAGGTTGCAGAGATGGAATGTGTTGGATTACAGATGTTTGCTGCAAGCGTATAAAGTCAAAAATGTTATCACCTTTTTGAAAAATGTGTGATTTAGCTTCAACTCTATTCTGCATGCTTACATGAGGAGTGTAATACCTGGGAGATTACACAGTCTAATGGTTTTGGATGGCAGTTGATGAAGAGAGCTGTGGTTACTAATGGAGCTGCTCTCTGACCCTCTTAAGTTTTAAGTAGCTATTTTAGCAGCCCAGGGGCAGGACCCAGACAGCTTGGCTATTGTTGATTAAGGTCATTGAGCAGGAGGTCATGGAGAAAGGAGACTTCTTGAAAATAGAGGAGCTAGTGAAATGAGCTGTCAAACGGTTTTGTGGCAGAGTCTCAAACATTTTTATATGCTAAAAAAACACCAGTGCAGCACATGCTTTTGTCGCTGTTATGTGTTTGTGCTTACTTGGCTGCCTTTTCACAGAAACCCATTTGTCTTTAGGCTCCACACACACACACACACACACACACACCTGCAAATCCTCTGTGTGTCTAAAGGGCTGCGACGATCACCCGTCAAAAAAAGATTAAATCCACCCCAGTTTAGTCATTGTCTGTTTGAGTCATCCTCAGACCTCAGCTATTGTGACTCCCTTTCCCAGCACAGGCATCTGCTTGCTGGTAAAAGATGATTTCTCCTGCATAAAACAGCTTTTAGTACATGGGAAAAAAATGTTGGACTATTGTTGTACCAAATGTGGTTTTTATCACCGCTTGGCAAATGGTTGTTTTCTGAGATTCCCGCTGTTCGTATACTTTGAAAAGATACTCTGTCTTTACAACCACCTAAAAATCTCTGAAATCACCATAAAATGACATCGATGCTCCACAGCAGGTCTCGACATCCACCCAAGCATTCCCATTTAGTTTGCAACTTGTTGGGTTGTTGTCCCTTATTTATTCATCATGTAGGATTTGTGAAGCCCTTAAAGTTGGGTTAAGTGCAGCACAAATAACCTTGGCTTGAAGTAATATGAAATAGATTTGAAATGGTTTGTCACACGCCCTGAACCTACACACCACATCCTTGTAAATAAAGTGAAAATAGAGCCGTTTGTGAACAACTGTCTTGAATTACGATTGTTCCGCCATATCATACATTCTGCTTTGAGCAGCTGCAGATATGAATATGTATCATGAGCCTTATTCTGAATCCCAAATGAAGGGTTTCCTATTGCTAGTGCTGCTGATTGGCTGTCATAGCGTTGAGGTAATGCTCCCTCACCCTCCTCTGCTCTACTGGCTGATAGAAAAAGATGAGATAATCCTCCCTTCTTGCTGAGAAATATAAAGAAGAAGTGATTGTGTACATGTGTGCTTGTCTGTGTACTGCATCCACATGTTGGTTAGAATTCTGTGTGTGTGTGTGTGTGTGTGTGTGTGTGTGTGTGTTTGTTTAAATGGGTGTGCAGGGTGTGGGTTGATGTTAGTTTATTGATATGTGGTGCTGTATTAACGTGTAAACAGTTGACTCACCATGACTAGCTCTGGCAATCCCCACTTCTGATTAAACAAAGTTATATAACAAAGTTCAGGCCAGGAGGCTTCATGTTTTATGTGAAACATGGCAGGTATGGAAAATCAAGAATTTCTATGACAAACACAATATGGATCTTGACCTCTGTGATGCTAGTCGTCTTTAGGGAAGCAGGTGTGCTGTTATGCAACTCGGTCTTCTAAACAGAGAGCTGTAAAGGGAGAGTGATGTGTGACACAGTTCTTGGTAATATCGTCCACGAGTGTAAAAGCTGAACGTGATGTCATGTTTTTTTCTCTCCTAGCTGCTGACTGGGACCCTGGATGGGAAACTGAGACTGTTTCAGTCCAGCAGTGGGGTCCGTCTGTCTCATGACACCAGTGCTGAGTACAGCATCCCCCATATGAGTGCTTAATTACAGCAGGCTGCAGCGATGGCCATGCAGGTTTCATTAAAGCAGTTCCAACCCCCTGGCTAGGATTTTACTGGGAAAGGAGAAAGTAAAGGTTTTGTTTTTAGTTGTTGGTTAAATGAGGATCAAAAATAGCTACAAGTTTAAAGTTTTTGTTTCGTTGTTAAAAGTGTCCTTCTGCTTCTGTGCTTCAAACTGTAAAAATGAGCCACACATTTCAGCTCATATTAGTCAAAATTTCAATATGCACATCATTAGACCACTTTTCTTTTGACTGTGATTCAAAGGGATATCAGGGGTTTGATTGAATATCTTTCAACATGTTCATTTAACCACATTATTGTGATGCAATGTGTGCTCAATTACAGATAATTACGACTAAATTTTGCCAAGAACAATTTTATCAGCAGTTATTCCCATCCATCCTTCCACACTCTGGATGGTCAAGCATCAGATTTTGTTTGTTCAGTATGTGGAACAGATGTACTTCTATATCACTGGCTGTGATCGCTACTTAACAGATCATCACATGGAGCTATGACATCAACTGGGTGCAACCTCTTTGGCTGCCAGACACACAGATGCTACTACTGTTCAGACTGACACACCCATCCACATTGTTTGAGCTGTACGTTTAGTCTTCTCTCCCACAGTTGCAACATGTCAGCTAACATAAACTATAGAATTTGTAGTATGTAGGTCAGTTATAAGATAGACACTTTCGTCATGGTTACATGCCTGTGGAAACTATTTAATGTAAAATATTTGTCTATTTTCTGTACAATATATGGCTGTGCTGCTGTTTTGTTTTGGAAGTGAAAAGGTGTTCCTCAAGGTTCTACTTTAGGACCACTTATGTTTTTATTTATGATCTTCCATTTTACCTGAGTGTTATTAGTTACTCTTATACCATTATATACTATGATGTATACATTGAAACTATTATTTATTCATCACATATTTAGGAGACGTTGCAATGTGACTAATATTCTGCAAACTTTGTTGTCATCTAACAAAATAAATAGAAGTCTTACACAGTGTTCTTTTGTATGAGACAGAACTTCACCTCATATCCAGGTCTCTGGTTTTAGTTTGTAACGATGGTACCTCTCTCCAGAAAGTTGATAAATTAAATAATTAGATATATGGGTTTATGGATTGACTCTTGGACTTACTTTTAAAACACACATTGATCATATTATATTTAAAAAAAAAAAAAAAAGAAGAAGAAGTTAATATTGGTGTTTGTGTCCTGTATCGTTCCAGACAGGCTTGCTTCACTATTAGAGATATTGGACTGTGCTTGTTCCATTTTTTTTTTAACCAGTCTACGTCCTCTCAATGTTCTCAATGTCATCTTTAATCATTTCTCTGTTGTTTTGTATTGCTGTGTATGTTCTTATGAGAGCATGTTTTGGTCCCTTCTTAAAAACAAGGTAATAAATTTCGAGGTGTTTATCCTAAATATAATACATTTGAATAATTGAATACAATAAATTGACACTTGTTTGTTTTGGGATCACGTCGACAACCAAACTGTTTATATGCAATAGTTACTATTGGAGTACATCATGTGTGCTTTCAGGCTTTTCCCTCTCAAAAGTATAATTCTCTAGTTAAAAATAAATGTATATATCCTGAGGACATTTCACTGGCAACCACTTTATTTTCTTAAATGTTTAGAGATCCAGACACCATTTCTACTTTTCATGCCCAGAAAAAACCTTCTACTATTTCCTACTATGCTTCCATTATCACTGCCGACAAGTTTCACCCCACAGCTGTCTTAAGAAAGGCAGGCGGAAAACTCTACCTATCTGGAATGGAATGAAATTTCAAGCGTCACTCATCCCCCCGTCCATTAGGAAAAGATATTGTATTTGACGCATTATCTGACGCTGACGCTGATGATAGAATGATAAATCCACTGATAGGCTGCCTGGTCTTAACTCTCTCAGACGGAGGTGAGTTTTCAGAAGACGCATCCCTGCCTTGTCCCCCGTCCAATATTCTGCGTTTAATTTACTTGGTCTTCTTGGACTGTGTGCTTTAATTGATACCGAGGCAGACTGCCTGTAAAGATTGTTCTCTGTGCACCACCAGCCTCAACTCAGTCAGATGAAATATAGCCTTGAAGTTTCACAATATCAGCTGCCAGGTTTCCTATCACAAAAACTGATGTTAAACATTAAAGAAAACAGAGCTGAGGCTGCATAAGATTTATGGGGTGGTACCTATTCTTTGGTCTTACGCCACATTATGCATATATATGTGTGAGTGCATGTTTTTTATGCTAAAAAGATAGGTATGTACTGGCAGGGCTGAGTCTGCCCTGTCATGGTGAGCTTTAGTGTTCCTGCAAGCAGAAGAGACTTTTTACTGGAACAAAACATAATAAATTGTCTTGAGTAAATTTATGTAGCCATGTTCTTTCTCCATTTTAATGTGCTGGAATGTGTGTGTGTGTGTGTGTCTCCTCTTGAATGAATTAACCTGCTACTCTGAGATTCAGTGAGCACACGTTCACAAACCAAATTGATATATCGGTGTTCGCGCACATTCCTTGTCTGTGTGAGGTCGATTCAGGCGCACTCCCTGCATTGATCTCACCAGTAAAGAATGAGGTGTTTATACTTGCAAATAAAAGGATTTCAAGTATAGCCACACCCGTACATCCTAACACAAAATGGTCCAAAGTTTGATCTCTCACAATACTTTATCATTCATTTTATCAAAGAGAAGAACTTAGTCTGCGTCCAGCTTTGCAGCTTTACAAGGACAGCACAGAACAGAGCAGAGTGTCACATTAGGAGAAGATACAGTGCACAACTCAGACATTCATTCTGAATCTCAGCATCATCTAAAACTCAAATACAGTCTGTTCATGCCTGCAACATGGCCTGTAAAGTGTTGGTTCACTGGCTCTCTGGCCTGTGGCCTGAGCACTGAATGCTTCAGTCTCCCTCATGAGCACTTTACATAAAGAAAACCAAGATATACATCACGAGGCACGTGCATTTTAATGATCCCCCGAAGACTTCTGAGGATCTCTGCTCTTTTGTTTTCATGAACTCAGTGCAACTTATAGTCAAGGGAGAGGAATATTTGTGCACATGTCAAAACCTGCCGTCAAAAAGCTTGTGCACGTGTCACACAAAGCATATGTTCTGTGAGAAAAAGAAAGAAGTAACCAGACTGATGGATATTAAAAAGATAATCACTGACATGAGTGTGTTTGTTTTACGAGGTTTTATTGCTGACTGATAGGACATAACAATGAATCAGCTTATAGGCGGCCTACTTGATGAAAGCTTTCACATGCTGCCTTTAACACCTGGTGTGAACTAACGCCAGAACCAGACTACATGACATCAGCCTTGCCATTAAAGTTGTGGAGCATCTGCAACTAAAATGAGCAACGGGTGCAACAGTTGCTCATTTTACCATATGTAATGTGTTATAGTGGAAGTCAACAGAGACAGCATCTAAGACATGTCACAGCATCCCAACTGTCCCAGAGACAAGCTAGGGACTGTTTTTTGCCTCTTCTTTTGACAACTCTGACATGCTGATTTAATACTGTCTGTAGCCATCTATTACTTAAATACATTTTTTCCACCACTCATTTTGTAGTTTCAACAGCAGCACCAGTGGTTTGCTTGGAAACCTGTAGTTTGGGCAGTAATAGCCACTAAAGCTAAACAAAGAAGGCAATGCCACCTGCAGAAACTTTAGAAACAGAAACTATAAAGAGAGAGCTGTAGGGGAGAACCAGGATGGAAGTAGTGGGGATGTTTGCAACACAGCCCTTTTCTCTTGTGATACAAAAGTCAGGAACTTGCCAGGAAGTCTGCAGGAGGCACAGCCCTCTGTTGAGCCTGCAGCTGAATATCAGCTCGATCCCATCAGTTTTGCCAGTTACAGTAGAAAAAAAAGACAGAAAACAGGCCAGTGTGTAATATTTGGCATGGTTTATTGTCAATCTGAATCTGAATCTGAATATTCTACCCATTAATATGTTTATACGTGTATAATCGCTATAAAATAAAATTCGTTTGGTTTTCGTAGCCTTATAATTATGCTTTTATATATACAGTACAAGCCAAAAGTTTGGACACACCTTCTCATTCAATGCATTTTCTTTATTTTCATGACTATTTACATTGTAGATTCTCACTGAAGGCATCAAAACTATGAATGAACACATGTGGAGTTATGTACTTAACAAAAAAAGGTGAAATAACTGAAAACATGTTTTATATTCTAGTTTCTTCAAAATAGCCACCCTTTGCTCTGATTACTGCTTTGCACACTCTTGGCATTCTCTCCATGAGCTTCAAGAGGTAGTCACCTGAAATG